GAGGACTCCAGCCTGTATTTCAGAGGAAGCAATTTGCAAGGTAACCAAACTTCCGCAGACGACTGACTGATGACCCAAGTTTGGGAGCAGGACTAGAAGAAAAAAAGAAGAAAAAATCTTCACACAAACACCTCGTCCCGTTTTCTGTGGCGAGCCGATTGTCTCGGGTGTAACCGCCCTGTGTATCGCGACTTGAACATGTTTTAATCAGATTGTTTTTGCGAATGCGTTTCGCAAATTTCTGTTGATTTCCGGACTTACGTTTATATGAGAATTTTAATGTTCGTATTTTGTCGTGGTTGTATATATCTGTTAATTTGTTTATTTGCTATGCAGAGTTTGTAGACAATTGTAATTAATTCCTTTGATTTTGTCCCTAATTTTTTAAATAAATAATAATTTGAACTTTCATTTCAAATAACTGCTCCTATCAGTATTTCCATTGTAACTTTTTCATGTTAAGGGCTGGTACTGCATTTTGTCTGTACTATTATTTACTTTAGTTTACCTGAATGTACCTGAAGGCCAGTGACCTCGAAGGGGATAGGAAGCCGTTGATTTGTCACGGGGTCATCCCTATTATTTTTAGGAAATTTGTGCAGATCAGTTTTGAAATGATGTGTTGTCTTGGCATTTACGTATTTGGTGGGAAGGCGATTGATTAATTACTCTACAGATGATAAAAAACATAATTTATTATCTGTACTGCATTTAGCACTTAACTCATCAGCCAGAGGCTTGTGGCGCACGCACGCAAATGGTAACAGAGGCCAGGAGACCAAAACAACGATACACGATGAAGGGGAAACTACCTCCCTATAACGACTAGAGAAAATGAGTGCATGTCAAACCTAGCTCTTGAAGCCCATATACATAAGATAACGTCACCAGCATACTCTTCACTAGCAAAAATCAGAACATCATTCAGGAACCTAAATAGAAACACACTTAGATCGTTGTTCCACCCACCCCCATGTAAAAAGAAATCAAATAAAAAAAACAGATTAAGAAACTCGAAAAGGCTCAGAATTTTTTTTCAGGCTCGGCCCGGATCCAAACCCGGGTCGAAGAGCTGCAAATCCCCAACGATGATGTGAATATTATAGTTGATGGTAATGAATGGTCTGAACAACACAGAATAGGACTAGGAATAGTCAGACAATTACTGCCCAAGTTTATAAATTTTCTGAATATTATAGTCCTAGACTATGAATGGTCTGAACATCAATCTAAAGATATGACAGCTCCGAAAATAGCAGTAGACCATGCCAAGTGCCTGTTATGCAGGGTCTGATAATTGGAAAACATAGTGAGGACTACTTTCTTAGATTCGTCAACAATATAATGCCTTTGTGTGTACAATATAGTCAACACACGTTGATTACACTTACTTGAGCTGGCCTAGTCAAGTATTCGTTATTTATTTAATACCAAGCCAGGTTGAATACCTTTATATGTAATGCAGAAGTAAATTAATTTTTCAATGAGTCTCTGCCCATTTAGCCTTATCTTGCCACACTCTCTCTCTCTCTCTCTCTCTCTCTCTCTCTCTCTCTCTCTCTCTCTCTCTCTCTCTCTCTCTCTCTCTCTCTCTCTCTCTCTCTCTCTCTCTCTCTCTCTCTCTCTCTCTCTCTCTCTCTCTCTCTCTCTCTCTCTCTCTCCATATATTATAGTTGTTCTATATATATCAAGATAACCACAAACTGTGTGAAATAAAGAAAACTCATGTATACTAAAAGCTCTACACTTCTGCATACAAAAGTCGTTGTTGTTGCAGCCTCGCAATGACTTTCTTAATAGCCCGTTATGTCAGGTAAACAGAATAACGGGATTAGAACCGGATATGTGGATCCTGTGTGTGTGTGTCTGTACTCACTTAGTTGTGCTTGCGTGGGGTTGAGCTCTGGCTCTTTAATCTGTGTGTGTGTGTGTGTGTGTGTGTGTGTGTGTGTGTGTGTGTGTGTGTGTGTGTGTGTGTGTGTGTGTGTGTGTGGTTAGGTACGAATGGGAGCTTGTATGATTTTACGGAATTGAGCATTCGAGCAAAGGTGCTTACCTGCTTTTTCCGTCAATAAATGCAAATGCAATTACTGACATTCATCCTAACCTCCTCCTCCTTCCCCCCTGTGCATCATCACCCTTCTTGTACTCTGCCTCCCCCCCACCTCCTTACAGCCTTACCATCATTCCACACGCACACGCAACATACACATCACATTCACTGGCATGACATCTTCAATAATAAATCGACACCTTTAAGAAGGAAAAAAAATATCCGTCAAATGTCATCGCCAAAAATGCCAACATTTCCATCAAAACGACAAACTCGTCAAAGCGTACATTAGCAAACGTCAACATTGTCAAGAATAACGCCGACGGGTCGGTGTAATCAAGAACAGCACCAGAAGCCAGTCAACACTTCCTCAACATAATCTTCTCCACCAAACTCTTCACCAACATTACAGTGTTTTAAGTAAGAAGCTGTAAAACTGAAAGTCTTATATCATAAACTTTCTCGAATTGGAGGAATGCTGTTTACTGTGTGAGTGAAGTATATCTTAAAGCCAGGAGCTGTAAAAGTAACAAAGGTCACTCCATATCGCGGGTACAACATGGTAAGCCACAGAATTTTTGTTCTCTCTCTCTCTCTCTCTCTCTCTCTCTCTCTCTCTCTCTCTCTCTCTCTCTCTCTCTCTCTCTCTCTCTCTCTCTCTCTCTCTCTCTCTCTCTCTCTCTCTCTCTCTCTCTCTCTCTTTCAAAAATTCTAAGAAAGAAATAATAGTGCTTGCTATTGATTGAAAAAATCCTGAAACTTCTAAAATGCCAATGAAAAATGCCTGTAAATTAATGAAAGTGAAGTAATCAATCAGCCAATAAAGAACTAGCTTCGGCTGTATACAACCTGGAGAAAAACTCGTAAGGTAGATTCCTGCAGTCCATTTGGCTAACATTGAGTAGGGCCAGATCCAGGCTTCAGCAGCCAAAAGAATTGGCCAGAGACCGGGCCGCGGGGACGTTTATCCAGGGAACCACAACAAGGTAACCACACTCTGGCGAGTTATCCTTCTTGTCACAGAGATGGCATTTTAGGCTACAAGGTCGTTCTCAACTCATGGCTGTTAATATTACAGACGACCTCTTAGCGGTTTGGAGGTCGTGAAGTGTGTAATAAATGCAGACTAAAGTACTATGATCGAGGCAAGAGGGACGACTCTCCTAAGTGTGCTTCAGGAGTCTTGGGTCCAGCACACCGCAGTAACTTGCCTCAACGCTGCACTATGCCCCGAAATAATTTTCGTAATGTGCGCCTCGTTCTGGGTGAATACCAGATCTTACCTGGAAGAAACGTATGCGTGTGTGTGTGTGCGTAGGCAGGGCGGCATGGGGGAATGAGAGACGGTTGTGACTGTTTGCTACTACCATTATATGCTTGTAGGGATCGATCTTTACTCGTGGGAATCGATCAGAAGTTACTGGGGTACCTATCCCCAGGCTTTCAATTGATTAGGGTACTCATTCCCTGCTTCAATGGGTCTAGAGTATTTCTGAATCTATATATCGAGTTTGCCGCCACAACTGTGCTTGATGATGTATTGTACCTCTTAAACACTCATGTAGAAACAAATGTATTTTGTTATTACACCTCAGAGACGTTTGCTTCCATCTTTATCCTTTCCTGCCAGCACACTCATGTCAATTCATCTTTTGAATTCAGTTCGTATTTTGAATATCAAGAGCACGTCTCTAGTTCTCTCTCTCTCTCTCTCTCTCTGTCCCCCCCCCTCTCTCTCTCTCTCTCTCTGTTCCCCTCTCTCTCTCTTTCTCTCTCTGTCCCCCCCCCCTCTCTCTCTCTCTCCAGCGATATAAGGATCAGTTCCTCCATATTCTGCTTGTAACTCAATACCTCTCAGCTCTGTCATGTTTTTGATGAGGTGAAGACATCAGATTAGTGCTAAGTTGTACGGTCGAACATGGATGTAATAATGACTCATTCTTTAAATTCCTGAAATGGCGGAGGAAGAAGGAAGGAAGGAGGGGAATGGAAGTAAAGGGAGGGGAAGAGGGGTAATCGTAAGGATAAAAGAAAGAAGGGATGGGGGAGCAATAGGGAAGAGGTATGTGGAAAGGGGTGGGGGAGGGAAGGGAGAAAAGTAAGAGAGAAGGGGGTTAATGATCTTGATAGAAAAGGAGGGGAAGAGGAAAGTGGAGAGGAAGAGGAGAGAGGGGGGGCAGAAGTGGGAGTGAGGAACAGCCAGGAGAGGGGAATAAAAGAAAGGGTAGATGAGACAGTGCCAACTAGGAAAACAGATCATTACCGTAATTCATGCAAATTGCTTAATTGTCCTATTCTTTTGCATCACGAGGTGTTGTAGTGTTGCAGCGTCGCTCTGGGTGTTGATTGCTGCCATGTACTGTGTGTTGCCAAGTGGTGACGACGTTTGGAGGAGGAAGATTCATAATTTAGTGCGTCAAGCAACACACTGCAATGTGTTACCAAGTGTTGTAGAGAATTATGTTGCGTGGTTTTGCAAATATGCTATTCATAACCATATACCGATAGCAAAAGAGTATATATAATGAAGAATTCTCTTTCTCTCTCTATGTACACACACACACACACACACATATATATATATATATATATATATATATATATATATATATATAATGACCTGATAATATATATATATATATATATATATATATATACATATGTATATATATACATATATATATATATATATATATATATTATATATATATATATATGTATATATATATGTATATATATACATATGTATATATATATATATATATATATATATATATATATATATATATGTATATATATATATATATATATATATATATATATATTATCAGGTCATATATATATATATATATATATATATATATATATATATATATATATACATATATATATATATATATATATATATATATTCATGTTATACGTAAATCTATTTATACGTACTTACCCACTAAATAGCATTATTCATTTTGACACAATTTTCGCCGGTGTAATTGTTTTTTTAATTTGTCCGCTAGTCGAAAATATTTCTCCCAGTGAGACACAAACTAAAAAACTGTTTATTTCAATCAGTTGTTTGTGTAGTGTCAATCGCTAATTGTATTTTTTTCACTGTATTTTATAACAAGTACTCATGACTTTTAGACACGTTTCAATTCACATATAGGGATATATAGGAGTATTTTCGAAATTCGTTAAGAATAGAAAAAGTAACCTTTATCCATAGCACAATTGCAATAGCTATTTATTTGTTCACGGAGGAAATATTAACGATAGGTTATACTTGAGAGGAAACATGTTTTGTGTTATTTTGTAGGAGAGGAACGAGGAGAGAGCGGCACGATACTACTCCTTCGACGTTCCCAGCGACACTGAGCCTCTGTCCACCTTCCTCATCCGCCTTACGCTCCTCGCCTCTCCGTTTTCTGTGAACGAAATATCAATTATGATAAAAACCGATCGTATAACAAAAACAATATAATATTAGGATAACTAAACCCCTCACAAGAAGATAACGAGACGACGACGTTTCGGTCCGTCCAGGACCATTATCAGGTCATTATTACAAACGACGTTTAGGTCCAGGACGGACCGAAACGTCGTCGTCTTCTCATCTTCTGATGTGTGGGTTAGTTCTCATATCTTCAAGCCACGTTATTGTCACTCATTGTCTGAACATATTATTATTAAATTATTGTAAGAAAACAATTATTAAATAAAATCATGTGATTATGTTTTATAAGTGTGTGAAAATGCATCTCTGTATTTCTATTTCATGCTACTGTATTTAATTGTTTATTTTTTTTATCAGAGAAGTAATCTACATGTATAGAATATAATAAATTATGGTAGATTATATATCTCATTCTGATCTTTACTGGCGCAACTTGCTTCAAAACACCGACGAACGAACCAGTGGAGGGGTTATGAACCATTGAACCATCCCTTTAATTACTTTAATTACATCAACTTTTAATTATTAATCCCTTTGTATTTAGATCAAGTCACACACACATCTTCACTTTAGGAAGGCTCAGATATCTTCCAAATTTCGGCCAATCCGACGTAGATATTTTAATTTTTAGATTTCTTTGGTATGAGTTGAAAACATGCTGTTCTCACTCATATAAACACGATCATCATCAACTTAGAACCACCAACACCATAACCATCTCCTTTCGCATCACCACCATCATCTACACCACCACTATTATCACCTACAAACACCACTACCACCACCACCTTCACAATCACCACCTCCAACACCACAAACACTATGATATCCAGCATCATCACCAGTCTCACTACCAAAATCACCACCTCCCTCACTACCCAAATCACTACCTCCATCGCTACCATCAACAGTTTGTAAGACTGATAACAACCATTGATAAATATCATTTAACCATCGACTAGCGACAAATAGTTAATAGGTCTCATTACAAGTGTACCCCGCATTAATCGTACTTGATAAATTAATTGCTATAATTCTTTATCCTCTAGCAGCACCATGCAATGTGAGTGCATCTGTTGAATTCTATTTCATATTAAGTCTTATCTATGTTCGGTTAGGTTAGGTTGTGAAGCAAAACATTGAGATTATTTGGCTTCTATTAAGAAATGATATAATTTCTGAACTTCATGTGATAGGCGTTAGTATGGAAGCATAAGATTTGGAGCAGTAAATACATTGAACCTAATTATAGTAATTTATTTCAGTTTATATCTACTAATAAGAGCAAGAGTAGGCTACTAAATATGTAGTGTTGGCTAATAAGGAGTCATCATGAGCAATTAGGGATTAATATAAGCTGTTGCTAATCAGTTTGGAGTTCACATGTCTTGTGTAATGCAAACAATGACAAGCTGTTTCAGTATGCGCTGACCTGAGTTGTCAACTGGGTCATGACCCAGATTGAAGATTAGATGGGCAAGAAACAGATCAATATGAACTAGTAAGAGGGTAGAGTGGCGCCAATAAAAGGATAATTAGGCTGTTATAACTGAGTATGGTTTAGTTAGGGGGTCATTTAGCCCCCTGCCGCTACGCAGATCCTGAATCCAGATCGTAAACTGTGATTTCATGACAACGTGAGGGGAATTTGACCTTGGTAGCCAGCTCTTTACGTCTCTCTTTCTCGTGTTTTTTCCTTCCATGTTCTTGTCATCCAATCCATCACTCTTTTGTGTTTCTTCCAATCGGGTCTTTCTTTCTCTCATTATCTCTGTTTTTCTCTTTTTTATCGCAGTTGGGTACAGGCTGAGACGTCATCTAACTTCTGTCAGCAGGATGAGAGCTTTCCTCTCCCATTGCTTACGATAAGTCTTACCTTACAAGTTTTCCATGGAACAAGACTCGCCCATCGCATTACTCACAGGTCGCCAATTATTGCTGGGTGAACTGGGACGAACACTTATGGATTGGTCCTCAGTCAATCCTCCTTGTGTTTTGTTACAGGGTGAGTTAGCGTGTGTGTAACAAGTATGTGGTATGTCATGTGTGTGTGTATTTACCTAGTTGTGCTTGCGAGGGTTGAGCTCCACTCTTTCGGCCTGCTTCTCAATTGTCAATCAACTGTCACTAACTACTACCTAACTATTTTTTTTTCACACCCACACAGGAAACAGCCCGTAGCAGCTGTCTAACTCCCAGGTACCTATATTTACTGCTAGGTAACAGAGGCATCAGGGTGAAGAAAACTCTGCCCATCTCTTTCCACCGGCTGTGGGGATCGAACCCCCTGTTCCTAGGTCCACGAACCTAGAGCGCCGTCCACTCAGTCACCAGCCCTGTGGATTGTATCACTTCTGGTGGGTTTTGGTAGTCCCCCCCCCCCCCCACCCTCTCCATCTTGATCCAGGATTTGCTATTTTGGCAATGTTTTGGTAGTGGTAGTGAGGAGTGTGGTAGTTTCTGTGTACGTGGGGGGTATAGTGTGTGTATGTGTGTGTGTGTGTGTGTGTGTGTCTTTTGTGAAGGTGAACAGCTACCTATCCTCAGGATGCAGCCCAAAGGAACTGTATAAATCCCAGGTACCTATTTGCTACTAGGTCAACAGTGGCAGGAGATGAAAGGAAACGCTGCCAAATTGTTTCTGCTCCAACCGGGATTCGAACTCAGGACCTACGGCTGTGGCTCGAAGTTGTTCACCCCTTGACCCCTCTCTCTTTCCCTCGCACACTCTTTGTCTGTCTGTCTATCTGTCTGTCTGTCTGCTTGACTGTCTGTCTGTCCGTCTGTCTGACTGTCTGTCTGTCTCTCCCCCCTCTCTCTCTTTCTCTCTCTCACTCTCTCACTCTCTCTCTCTCTCTCTCTCTCTCTCTCTCTCTCTCTCTCTCTCTCTCTCTCTCTCTCTCTCTCTCTCTCTCTCTCTCTCTCTCTCTCTCTCTCTCTCTCTCTCTCTCTCTCCCTCTCTCCCTCTTCCTATGTCATTTTCGTGACTTTTCCAACATTTTTCTACCAAATATTTCCTGTGTCTGGACCTGACGACACTCGCCGTTATCAAGTTGCTCTCCTTCCTCCTCTCACAAGCTCCATTACCCTCAGAAATTGTCATCCAGATTTACTCTTCTCCTTTTTTCTTTTCTTTTTAGAGTCTCATCTCTGATTTACTCTGCGCGCTCTTCGACGGCCTTTATTATCCCTCTGTCTCGTCCTTCACGGGTATATTTGCAAATTAACGAGGTACATCACCATACATCAGAATTCCCATTTTAGTTCTTTTGTTTACTTCTTGTGTTGTCAAGAGTCAGGGGTGACGGGAGCAAAACAAAGGGTGGATTTTAATTGTAATCTCAATCCAGTATATGTGTAATATATAATTTATCTTGGCCTATTTTAACGTAATATATCGGTGATATATATATATATATATATATATATATATATATATATATATATATATATATATATATATATATATATATATGCAAGAGAGATAATGTATCATACTTTAGGGAACGTCTTTAGCTTAAAGCCAACTGCAAAAATTGCAAGACCGAAGAGGTCCTCGTAAAGGCTGGCAGCTTGGCCCCAACCAGCCAACCTCCTCCTACTCTCCTCGATGAAAATGTCCGCTCTAGTTTCTTATAGAGTTTTGTGTCTCTGGAACAGCTGATAAGCTTCGTCCTTTACTTTACCAGTAAAGGTTTGAAGCTTAACAAAGGAATTATTGCAACAGAATATATAAATAATAAGCTTAAAACAGAAATATTTTCCAGGATTGGAAACAGGGTTTGTAGTGTTATGAAACAACTTACCGGGTAATATAAGAGACGTTGGATCGCTGGAAGTTTGCAAGATAAGGTGATTATCTGGAGAAAACGCTGTGATAGTATGATTAAATACCACTTGGAAGGGATAGAAGAGAAAGGAGCTGGGATAGGACAGAGGGAAGTAATGGTGACACACCACGTAGACTGCTGGATGGTTTCAACAGCCACTTCTGCAGTGACCTCTATTCTTATGTTCTTATAACTTCATTGTCTCATTTTGATGTTCCTGACAGAATTATGAAAAATATTAATTATTGAATTCACATTCATGTCGATTAATGTAACTTATATTAAGAATTATTTATACGTTAATCTGAATCATATAACCTGCAATTAAGAGTTGGAATGTTAGTACTCAAATTGTACGACGTTTGGGATATAGCCAATCACAGTCGAGTAAGCCTCTGACGTCATTCTCCACAGAGAGTTGGTAATAGCAGTTCTGGAGACGAGTTAGTATTCTCGCAGACCAGAGTTAAGTAGGACCTCGGCAGGCCAGATATACAACTTACTACCTTACTCAATTAACTGCTCAAGTCATCAACCGTGTATTCTCTACTATCCATCAAGAACCACATACATCAAGAAGGTAACTAATAGGAATATGTGCAGTTGCTTCGAAGCTGAGCCGAGACTATAGTTCAGTCTATCATTTGAAACTAATTCTCATGTTTTGTAAATGCATATTTACAAAATATTGCCTTTGGTCTTTATTTTCTGAACGAACCTGAAGCCCAATTCAGTATCTGAAAGAGAACCAGACAGACTAAGGAGGACAGACAGACATAAACGTAGAGACCCAGAGAGAAAAAGAAACAGACTCAAAAATAAAATGCAATTAATAAAATAAGATAAATAAAAAAATCACTGAAAAACTATATAAAGAAAAAAAATATTGGAAAATGGTGAATATTATAACGAAGACCCTCCCCTTCCATCCCTAACCCTATGGAACAGTCTTTCCCCCCACAAAGGGGAGAACCTGATGAGAGAGAGAGAGACACTCGCCATACTGGACGTTTCCACACAGGCTAAATAACATGCGATTTCCCTCCCCTGTCACACCTTGTTTGAAAAAGATAGACGGTGATTACTGCAGAG